GACCCTTCATCTGGGGAGAACCATCCCCGTGCGGGGCCAAAATCCAAAGAGTAAGTTGTGACAGAGCTGTGACCAATGCTGCTCTGGAGCCTGGGCTGCTGCTTCCAGCTCACAGGAGGTGGGGATGTTGGTGCCTGCAGGAGGCAAAGGATGCAGGCTCAGGGGAACGGTGTGAGCAACCAAGGGACTGAAATTCTTTCCATGCCTCTGTTACTTTCTAGGGCTGTTGGCCAGGTCTAAGGGATTTTAAGAGGCAGGCTTTTCATTATTTTTCATGTGTCCTTTTCCTGGACCAGTGGCTTTGCATAAAGCACATGATCTGAAAAGTTTGCTATCACTTTAAAAAGTTCTGCTAAGCCCTACGGTCATGTGCCTTCAGAGTCTTGGTTACATAACGCTGCTCTTGATTGGAATTCTGCAGCTTCATGAACTGGAGTGTTGTCCTCTCCCTCCCCACCTAGCACTTTGTTTGCTGTGGGTCAGGGTTAGCTTCTTTCTAACCGTTGTTGCAGAACTCTTTAAATATTTGGTCTCACAGGTTCTAAAAGCTGGCAGACCAGGCTGCTCCCTGCAGGTTGTGAGCCCAGAGCCTTCCAGAAAAGAGCCAACAACATCCCAAGCATGTTAACAGCGTGTAGTAGCCGGCCGGTGCCACCCGGGTCCCAGCCGCCCCAGCTCTCGGGGCCAGGCTCCCAAGTGCTGAGGCCAGCAGCACCCAGCCTCTGGCCCGAGACCTGGAGGAGCCCTCCCTCTCCACTTTGGGCGATGACAACAGATTAAATTGCTGGCTCTCAGCACTGATGCCTGGCATTCATCGGGGTCACTTTTAATTCCGTCAATTCTCCCAGCTTCCCCTGGTACAAGAGCAAGTTCAGAGCCCTTTGGCTCTCACCATCTCAAAGCTGCTTCTCTTAGAGTCGGGCCGTACTGGCTGTTCCAGCGGCCCTTCAACACTTGATTCTGAAATGTAGTTCCTCGATGTACATATGTATTTGTTTATAGCCTGCATTTTTTCCAAAAATGACTGCAGACAGCTAATTAAGTATTAAATACAATGCAGTGATTTTCTTAAAATCAGGAAATGGACCAAAAGGCATCTTTGAGTAGGAAAATTAGGTATAACCAGAGCAAAATTTAGTTCACAAAATTCAAACTACAAATAAAGTCTTCTAAAGGCAAGTTCCAAAAATGCTTTCTTCTGAGTTTCCTAGCAGCCAAGGCAAAGAGAGCAACTTAATCAAGGATAAAATTCGTGCATCTGTAAGACGAAGCCCAGCAGCCCGAGAAGGCTGTTTCTTTGCTCTATGCAGCTCCCCTCATCATCTTGGAAGAGCACCAAGGGGTCACATGAGCTCTTGCTGTCATCTGCTTTCCACAGTGTCAGCACAGCCATTCAGTGGCTGCTTGCAGTGTTCCCTAGGGGTTGGCCTGCTGGCAAAGGCCCTTGTAGGCCAAGGGCCCTGATGGAGGCTGTGCAGGGTATTCCAGGGCAGGTCATGGCTTTTCAGGCCCTGCCCCAGGAGCCTTACTCTGGGGAGATGCTCTGCTACAGGACAGCGGCAGAGTCAGAAGGCCTGGCAGGAACTGTTGGTGCCAGCCAGTGTGGAAAGGCTGTGAGAAGTCCTGCAGTGACGGAGCCAGCCCAGCATTTGCCACGCTTATTTGACTAACAAGACCTTAAAAAAAAATTAAAACACTTAGCACATTAGGAAACACTGATCTAATACGGGTCAGCAAACTTTCTATTATGAGCCACATAAACTTTTTCTCCAGTGCTGAGGGTTGGCCCCAGAGCTCTGGTTGTACTTAGTACTTGCTCTTCCACTGAGCTGTCTCCTGGCCCCTGCACAGGACACATTTTAGGCATAATGTCTCTGTCACAACTAGCCACTCTCTCATATCAAAAAGGCACAGCTAGGTTCCAGTTAAGCTCTTCTTGTGGATAGTGAAATTTGAATTTCATACAATTTTGTGTGTCATGAAATAGTTTTCGTTTGAGTTTTTTCCAGCCATTAAACAAATGCAAAAGCTGACCTTTGGTTGCAGGGCATTCAGAATCAGATGACTGGCGGACCTGGTGTACAAGCTAGAGTTTGCTGACCCTGCTCAAGAATCCATCTTCTTAGCAAGCAAGCCTCCCTGGGTGCTACATATTAGAGTTCAAATTGTTAGACTCTCGTACTTCTGGTTGAAGAGCAGGTAACATAAACAAAATAGTAGAGAATTTCTGGTCTAGGAGTTTCTTCAGAAAACAACTACAGGTCCTCTCAAGGAAGCTGGGCTGTCTCGCACATGGCTGGGTTGTCACAGGCTGGAGATGTCCCCATAGGCATTATCATTCATTCATTTGTTCATTCATTGATGACATTCACTCACTGTATCCACAGAAGTGAGAATCTTAGGGAACTCAGCGTCACCTAGTTAACCCCCCACAGTAACCAGGAAACTGACTTCTGTCCCACCAGGCTAATAGTGTACATTTTGATTTTGACTTAGAGAAGCATTCTCGGCTTTTTATGATGTCAGTGTGGTAAAAGGCGGACCAAACATTCCTGCTGCTCCATCTGATGTCGAGTTCAGTTCCCCAAGTGTCTGTTGAGTACTTAGGGTGCATAAACCGTCTGTCTGGGTTGTGGGGGTACGGAAAGGAGCAAGGAGCACACAGGTCCCTCTTTACCTTGTGGACCAAGTTCAGGGTTTCCACCAACTTAGAGTCCACTGCTGTGGATTTCATCTCCTGGGCTTCTTCCCCTTCATTTCCACGCATTCATTCAGCAACACACAGCCTCTGTTCCAGACATGCAGAATGTAGCCTGGGAGAGTGCTTCCCAGGGCCCTTGGCATTTCTCTCTTCCTCTGGCATTCTTCCTTATATCCTCTTTTATATGATGGAACAGAAATTATTGCTGGGTGCCCTGAGATTTCAGCCTTTGTGTTCCTCATATTATGTGACTCTCCTTGAAATATTTAGTTTGCCAGGCATCGTGGTGCATGTCTGTAATTTCAGCACTTGGGAGGCTGAGGCAGGAAGGTTGCCATGCGTTTGAGGCCAGCCTGAGCTACAACATGAGACCCTGTCCCCAAAACACCACTCTCCCCAGACTGCTCTCTAAGGCATTTGTTTCCTCCGCCTGTATGGCACCCACTTTTCATGGCTTCTTTACTTACTGGTGGGTACCTTATGGTGCCAGGGCGTAATTCTAAAGCCATTGTCTGTTAAGCAGGAAGAGTCTAAAGAAACTATAAGAGGCTGAACACCCTGGCAAGCAATGTTATATATTAGATGGACAATTGTTTTTTGATTAGGGAAGATTCTGTACAATGTTAATTTTTTCCAATTACAAATGGAATGCTTAACTGAAGTGAAAAAAGATTTTTAAATATGAAAAAGCATAAAGGTACCAAAAAAAAAAGCATAAAGGGGAAACTCCATAATTCTATCTCCTATTAACCCTGTGGACATTTAACACAGAGTTTTTACTTTCTTCAATTCAAAGTTCACATTTTAAAATTATTTCTACTCTTTAATGGACAGTGAAGTTGACCTTTGTGTGGTGTGCAGGTCCCTGTGTCTTAAGACCCATGTAGATCTTGGGGGCTACAGTTCTGTCCCCTGCACAGGCACCCTCTCCCAGGCCCTGGCAGCCGCTGGCCTGCTCTGTCTCTACAGTCTTGTCCTTTCGAGACTGTCATCCACGGAGTCACACAGGACGTGAGTGTTCACGAGTGGCGCCTTTCACTCAGCCTAGTGCCTGTGAGACATGCCCGGGCTGTGGTGAGTGAGCAGTGTGTCGCTTTTTGCTGCTAAGGCCATACTGTTGTGGGGCTGTTCCACAGTTTGGTTATACACTCTCCATTTAAAATTCCTTTTTAAAACTGACATTTCTTGAATCCTAAGGTGCTGTAATTTTTTTGGTACTGAAGATTGAACCCAGGGCCTTTGCACTGAGCTACATCCCCCACCCATTTATTATTTTTTATTTTGAGGCATGGCCTCACTAAATCACTGAATTACCCAGGTAGGGCTTGAACTTGTGATCCACTTGCCTCAGCCTCCCAGAGAGCATTGTATGTTTTTAATTTTCCCAGAATATCCCTGTGGAAGCGATTGGGCGCTTATAATGAATGCTGCCCTGGCCCTGGGGAGGAGGTGGTGCGGGCGTCCAGGAGCGGAGGAGCGCTGAGCAGGTGGTGGAGGGGCTGAGGAGTGAGGGTGGGTTACAGCAGGGCCCAGGTGGAAAAGGCCTGAGAGTGGGGCAGCTCAGGGGCTGGGGGAGTTCTGAGCACCCAGGCAAGGCCAGGAGGAAAGCCAGGAGAAGCGTTTGAGAACAAGCTTGACTGGTCAGCGCCAGCGTGGCCATGACCGCGCAGCTGACGGAGGAGACTAGCAGTGGCAGCGCCAACTAGGAGGGGTGAGGGAGCATGGGTCTGCAGGGCCTGGGACAGCTGGGTCTTGGAGGTGGGGTGGGTGAGGTGGACTCCAGTGTAATAGGCCGCTGGGAGGGGAGGGGTGGGCACTGGCTGGGGTTAATGTGTGCAGTTATTCCACGGACACACCGTGCTTCGTGCTATTTCCAAGTAGGGTTGTGTTGCAGTTAACTACAGGTATACAGCCCAAAGGTTTCTGCCGAGCATATTCCTGGGTCTCATCTGCTGTGTCACCATGGGTACATCCTGTGTTTCCAGGGTAGGAGAAGGAGTCATGCACTGTCTCCTTCAGGCTTCCATCCCAGGAAGGGGAGGAGAGGAACTCGCCCCCTTGGCCAGCACCCTCCTGGGTCACATCCTTCCTGGAAGTGGCCCGGCTTCCCCTGCTCACAGTTCTCACTCAGTTCCCAGAGGAGGGAAGCACTGCCCCGTCTCTCCAGCCTCAACTTCCGACCCTTTCGCTCTCTCCACTTCGCTCTGCTCACAGCGTGTGTGCCCAGGCACCTGGGCTTGCATGCTGCTCTGTGCTGTCCACACGCCTCTGCTAATGATCTCTCCCCCACCTCTCCTAGAAAAGACTGTGTCTTCACCATTGACCCATTGACCGCCCGGGACCTCGATGACGCCCTCTCCTGCAGGCCGCTCGCTGACGGTAAGGTGAATGTGGGTGAACATTTCTGCGCTCTCAGGCAGCGTGATGTGCAGGGTTGGTTCATCCTGTTCCTCAGCTCACCTTGGCCTCCGAGCCCACACAGCTGTGTGAACTTGAGGTCCTGTTCCTCTGGGGACTTTGGCAAGGGCGGGAATGATAACTGTCTGCTCAGCGCCACTTCTTTGGGACTGTAGAAGAGGGTGTGGTGAGGACAGAGGAGCCCCTTCCAGGCCTTGGCCCTTCAGGTGGTTCCAGTTTGGTGGAAGGAGCGATGGAGATGCAGAAGTGGCCAGGGATCCTCCTGCAAGATGGCTCCATGCTGGCCAGCAGGAGATGCCTATCCGCCACTCCCAGCAGTGCTTGTCTGTCCAGTACATTGTGAAAGGAAGGCTCTATGGCTCTTTAACTGTGCTTTGGGGTTGTTGCTAGACAGGAAGAAGCAAGATTGAGGCCAGTGGTCTTGGACAACTATAGGAGGAGAAAGAGAGAGCAGCAGCTGACTCTCAGAAGAAAAGTATGAGTGTGGTGGCATAGGCCCATAATCCCAGAGCCTCAGAAGCTGAGGCAGGAGGATTCCAAGTTTGAGCCCAGCCTGTGCAACTTAGTTAGCGAGACCTTTTCTTTTTTCTTCTTTCCATTAACTTTATTGGTACATTTTAGCTATACAGTACAGTTACATTCATCATTGTGATCTTGTACCTATACATGATGTATCTTGGTTCTTATTTTTTCCCCATTTCTCTGTCCTCCCTTCACCCCCTCCACCCTTCCCTGTTTACAAAGACTTTGTTTCCATTTTTTTCCTTTTCTCATATTTTTTCTTTTCCCTTTCCTTTCCCCTACCCCTCCTACTTCCCCTACTCCTTTAGACATTTTCTTCCTATTTCACAATATCAATTATACATTTTGATCCTTATTTACACTTTTAATTTTTCACACCAGAGAAAACTATTTGGTATTTCTGTATGTGTGTCCTATTTATTTCACTTAAGAGTATGGCCTCAATGTGCATCCACTTAGCTATAAATGCCTCTAGTTTCTCATTCTTTATGGCTGAGTAGTACTCCATTTTATAAAAAAAAACCACCTTCTTTATCCAGTCTCCAGTTGATGGGCAATTGGGCTATTTCCAAGTTTTTAGCTATTACAAACTGTGCCACTATAAACATGGGTGCACATATATCACTATGATTCTTTTAATTATTTTGGGAAGATACCCAGCAGAGGAATAGCTGGGTCAAATGGGACTTCCAATCCTAGTTGTTTGAGGTATCTCCATATTGATTTCTACAGTGGTTGCACCAGTTTGCACTCCTGCCAACAATGAAGAAGAGTTCATTTCTCCCCACAACCCTGCCAGCATTTGTTATTGGTTGATTTCTTGATAGCCATTCTTACTGGGGCAAGGTGGAATCTCAGCATTATTTTCATCTGCATCTCTCGAATGACCAGTGATGTTCAACATTTTTTCATGTTTATTTGCTGCTTTTACTTCTTTGCCTGAGAAATGCCTGTTCATTTCAGATGCCCATTTTTGAATTAGGTCTTTGTATTTGGGGAGGGTCTGATTTTTTTGAGTTCTTTATATATTCTAAATAGTATACCTTTGAGGAACAGCTGGTAAAAATTTTTCCCACATTGTAGGTTGTCTCTTAGCTCTGTTGGTGGTTTCTCTTGCAGTGCAGAAACTTTTTAATAAGATGAGATCCCACTTGTTGATTCTTTGTGCTAGTTCCTGTGCTACTGAGGATTTGTTCATAAAAGCAAGACCTTTTCTAAAAATACAAAATATTATTTAGCAAGAGAATGAGTCAGAGAAACATTGGACTCATTTAGGCCCAGGGACCTAGCCCGGAGATGTGAGCAGGGTCCACAGGGGAGGGTGTACAGATGTGAGAGAAGCCTGATATGGTGGAGGGTTTCAGCCTGGAGAGTGGGAGCCAGAACCCACAGGTTAGAAATCAGGAGGGCAGGTGGCCATGCTGCGTTGGGAAGAACGCGTGTGTCTGGTGATGCATGTTTATATGAGTGCTGCAGGTCCTCTTCCAAGGAGGTGGGAAATAAATAAGCGAACTAGATGTGGTCATATAACCATATGCAAGGGATCCCTGAGGAAGAGCTACCCAAAATTGAGCAGTGATTATATTCATTCATTCATTTGTTCATTTATTTTTGGGGTTTTTTTGAGACAGGTTCTTGCTGTGTAGCTTGGGCTGGTCTTGAACTCACTTTGTAGCCCAGACAGGCTGTGAGCTCGTGGCAATCCCCCTGCCTCAGCCTTCTGAGTGCTAGGATTATTCCAACAGTGATTTTATTAGGAAGATGGGATCGTAAGTGATTTTTCTCTATGTTCAAAATTTTTATAATGTGGTAATAATAGCTTTATAATGAAAAAAATTTGTAATAAAAAAATTATGAGGTGCCAGAAATCATGGGCTTCCCAGTAGCCCACTGCACCAGGTGACCAGACACCTTCCATCTGCTTGGTTTTTCCTTCATTCCTGAGGGGCTGCTGACATCTGTTCACTTGGCAGGACTGCAGCCAGAGGACAGGGGAAGGGAGCCAGGGCAGACTTGGAAAGGGCCCGAGGTGGTCAGTCAAGCGTTTTTCTGGTGGCACTTCTACAGTTGGCCTTGGTGACAGCAGTTTCTGCCAGGGCCATTTATTTAGGGAGATGAAAAGTGAAAAAGCAATTCCAGTTTGGACTGGGGTGGGGCTGGCTAAGCTCGGGTTCTGTTAGTTACCGGTTGGTGTCAGTTCTCACTTAGGGAACAAATGTTTAATGTTTCAAAGAGCGAATCGTGTTTTCTGGGCATACCTACAACATCTATAGCCATGTTTATTGAGAGAAAATGCTGTATAAAATTATACTTTGGTCCCGTTGAAGTCACCTGAATGGCTGTTCTGTGACACATAAACCCCCGTAACTGACAGAGCTTATCTCATCCTCGCGCCCCCTTTCTGTAGAGCCCCTGTGCTCCCAGGACTTTGCCAGTGCCCCCCGTCAGGTGCAAGGTGTAGACCATTGAGTCTACAAGACACAGTGACCGGCTGGTCGCCAGCCGATCACAGTTAGCTGGGGAGGGCTGTTCCAGGCCATCATGGCAGCTCCGCTTTGGAAGCCACTCCCCCAGTCACCTGACCCGATTCTCCCTGAATGCACCTGAGAGGAAGAACACCCTCTGAGCACCAGCCAGTGCTGGGGAGTCTCAGTTTTGCTCAAGAAAATGTTTAGTAACAAGAGTGGTGTTAGAATGGTAAGTGAAGACGGCAACACCCTTGTAATAGATAGATAGCTTACATCTCCCCACTGACCTCACCGCTCCTGAGTGCGAGTGCCACAGTGACCGAGCCACCCACAGCATACACTTACTGAATATGCAGACTGCGCTTGAACTTTCTACCTGCGAGGCAGCCCATTCCGCCATGAGGTTAGACAGCTCTTAGGAAGCCCTAGCCTGTCGTGATCTGAAATACTACTGTCTTCCTGTAATTTTCTACCCATTCACCCCATTTGTGCCCATCAGGCCCCCCGATGCTAGAGGACAGGGATTGGTGTTCTCCGAGTCACATCATCTTAGCTCCCCAGTCCCCCCTTACGAGGCAGAGTTCAGGCTGGGGTAATAGCTACCCATTCTGTTCAGGTGAACAAACACGATTGCTTAACCCTAGCCATAAAGCAGTCCCGACCTTTATTAAGCTTTTAGTTGACCCAGACTCCCAGCAGTCCTGTAGGAAGTGGGAGTCCATTTCTCTAGCATCTCACTCTCTCTTCTGCTCTCTAACATGGGGTCTGCCGTGAAACATATAAAGGGTTTGCTAGTTGAGACTTAAGAATGAACGAATGGGGAAGGAGAGTGGCTGCTCCCAGATTTGGGTTTCTGGTAATGAAAGTGTTCTGAATTAGATAGTTGCACGATCTTGTGAATATACTAAATGCTACTGAAGGAGAATGAATGAATGAATGGTGAGTGAACAGAAATAAATAACAAATCCAAATCCACTGATCCATGAGCCTTTCTGGAAATTGGAATTTACACCTTGTGCACAGTTTAGCAGGGGTCTTGGTGGACTCCCACAGTCACATCCCTCTTGTCTTTCCTCTTGGCTGCTTTCATCTCTGATCCATGAGATCCTAGTCAAGGGGGCGTAGCCTCTTCCCAGTGCCTGCCCACACCCCTGTCCTCACCAGCAGGAGAAAGGTGGTCCATCCTTTCCTGAGTAGAACAGTGCCCACCTGAGGGCCTTGGGAGTCGGTTCCCACTGTGCTCACATGGCCACCAATCTCTCGTGTGGGCCACCCCTGTCACCTCCCTGGCTGCCCAGCTTTCCCTTCCTGAGAGGCCGACATGCAGCTCTGTGCTGGGGGCCTGCAGCAGCAAGGAGTAGGACCAGGGTCTCACCACTGTGCCCTCAAGGGTTTCCTGGACTCTTTGGCTCTGTAGCTTCCCCGTAGAGGGCGTGTGCCCCCTGCCAGGAGTGTCTTGCTGTGGCTGATCACCTTTGGAGGAGGGAGGAGGCGGGAGCTGGCGGGGCCTTAACCCCTGTGCCAGCAGAGGCGTAGAATGGCTGTTTTACAGAGGAAAGGACGGAGGTGGAATCTCCGACCTGCTAAAGGGAAGGAAAGGAAACCTTGAGGTCCTGGAGCTTCTGTCCAGGAATGCTGGGCGCAGCCCCCGGCCAGGACAGTCTTCCTGCAAGGCTTGGCTCCCACCTTCCGGAAGGCCACCCCCATGCCAGTCACCCTAGTGCTTGATCTTTCCCTGTGCCCTTCTTCTTCCTTCCAGTGTGCAAATGTAAGCGTACTTTGTTCCCCAGAGCTCTCCTTCCCCAGCCCTACCATGGCTCAGGGACATGCACTGTGTTCCCTGAGATCCCCGAGGGAAGAGTCAGAAAGCCTTGTGTTCCTGGGGGCCCTCACCTTGGGTCCCCAAACATCAGTGCAGACCTTGGCTCTCATGTGTTCCTCCTCCTTGAAATTCCCTCTCCTTCTGATGCA